TTCTTTGACGTAAACGATACCTTCAGTAGATGAACCTAAATTATATGTCAATTGCTCAAAAACAGAGAAAAGGAAACTTCACAGTGATCTCTTGCTACTCTAGTAATTAAATCATCCGTTTGCGACTTCTTCAAATGTCGCACATTCATCCTCAAAGGGTTAATTGATTTATTATGCTTCTAACTATTTATTTTCATTTTTCTCATTACCTTTTATGTGAAATAGAAAAGCACGATCGCGAAGGAAATCGCGGAACGAGGGTCTATTCTGTTCGCGTAAAGTACAAGACGAACGCGTTAATCGTAACAGCGTCGTCTATAATCAGCACAGCCGACTCGGTCGGCGGCACACGCCTAAAAATCACGGATCGCAACGCCGTGTCTTGTCTACCCGACGGTTCCCCGTCGTCGCATTTTAAATTCAACCGTTCCGCCGATTTACATTTCGCGCGGCGGAAAGGTAAATCCGTTCTCCTCTGTCCCGTCATCGGGTCGTTGTAAATTGGAAAGCGGAAACCTTTGCGCGGCGCGTGGCATAAACATTTTCAAACGAATTTCGGCGAATCGACGTCGTTTAACCGTTGAAATATTCAGGAGAGCGGCGCCCGCCGCCGAATGGGAGTGAAAAAAACGCGGCCCGGCAGCCAGCCGCCGGTATTTAACTTGAATCGATGCGGGACCGATGAAACGTTATTTGGAAAAATTAAACCAGGTAAATAAACGGTGCCCGCCGATCGATTCGTGGATTATACCGATGCGCCGCCGCTCGACGGTTTTGATCGCGGTAACGACTGGCCTCGTTGTACAAAGAATGAATCGCGGGGAACGTTTGGTGCTGGGACTACCTAGTGCTTGCATCGAAAAATTATTGTGGTATTAATGGTATTTTAAATATGTTTTATTTTTAAAAAACATACGAATAGATGACTGAATAGAACGCAAATAAATAGAAACGATATAGCTCGCAGTGTACAGGCCTTTTCTCTTCTGAAGTCAACGCGATTCTCTCAAAATCTCTCGCCATCCGCACTTAACCCTTTCAACTCTGTAGGCTCTAATATTGCACCAGTTAGAATATTAAATATTTTAATGAATCTTAAAGAAACTACCCTAAAGTTATTAGATTTTCCATACATCCAAAATTTGTACCGAGAAACTACCTTAAAATTATTAGATTTTCAGTACATCCAAATTATGTATTGAGAAGGAAAACGAAAGAAGGCTGTTTCTCTGCACGGCAGAGTTCTGTACGAACAATGCTGTTTTCTACGCGAGTACATTGGAACGAAGTTTTTGATGATTAAATTATAATTTTTCTGAAAGATATGATACACATAATTTAACTTTAACAATTCACTTTAATAATTAGTAATACAATTGGGTATGATCTACGATATATTGGTAGCGACGGAGCCACCATAGTGGCGCGTCATTCAGAAAGATGACATCCGCGACAGCCACTACAGTAGCGCGTCGTGCCTAAGAGGTTAAGGGAAAAGCTAGCTATTTCTCATTGCATCCATTAGAAGACACGAACGGAACTTTCATCTCGCGCGACCTATCAGCAAATCGCGGCTGGCTCTGTTTCCGATCGAAAGGTGTACTTTTCCAGGAGGAAAGTCGCGATCAACCAACCGCCTAACGCACGCGGCAGCAACGAACCGCGCGACGCTCGTTTCCCCCGGTACCGGCCGATCACGGATTGAAAAGCGGCCATAATACTTGCTGAATACTTTACGCGAGTGGCGCGGCGGGACGAGCAGAAAATTTGATCGCGGTCACGGGAAAGGGTCCTCGATGGAGTCGCTGAAATTCAATTTACGGAAACTCGAACCGCTTGATTAAGCTGCTTCGCGAGCCGCTCGTCGATGTCTCTACGATATTTCGAGGGGTTTCCCGAGCGCCGGACCGGTGTCGTTAACCTCGTGATACTAACGGGGCTCGCATGTAAAGCCGGATCCATTTATATCGAATTCCCGATGGAAAAAAGCAAGGAAGAGAGGTAACTGGCCAAACGCTCCGGGCTGCGCCACGGATTCCGAAAGCCAGCCGACTGATCGAACCAGCGTTACGTCCCTTGATTCAATCCGACATACAATTTTCGGTTGTTGTCCGACTCCTCTACAGGAATCCCGGACAGATTAATGGATTTATTAACACTGAAGGCACCGACACTCGCTGTATATCTGTTTTCGCCGTGACCGGTCGGATAACTGGCAACAAAATACTGGCGAACATGACAGACGATTTTTCTTAATGGGAACAGGAGCAAAACGAAAGACAAACATTGGGAAAGTTGATTAATCGGATAGAGTATGGACCGATACAAAGTGACCGAAAGGAAATAATATTTAAATCGAACTTTACAACCGGATATTCGACCGGTTCGTACGGTTGATATTTAACTCGTATCGGATACGCGAGTTAAGATTCACGGAAGAGAACGTCGAACGAAAAGATCGCGGTCGACGGAAAAACGCGGCGGTCGCTCGACGGTTGTCGACGGAAACGGACGAATGCTGGAGATTTGATTTATCATCCAATTGCGTGCTTCGAGGGACATTTTTTGTCGTACGTTTGTGAAACGAATAATCTGCTTACACGCGGAACGTATTAGCGAGAAAGAAATCTATATTAATAACAGCGACATCGCATCGAGATAACGCGCATACAATAGCATCGACTGCATTGATTGCGAACATACAAGCGCGAATCAACGGCGGATTATATTACAATGGATATTAATGAACGCATTACAACAATGAATATCCGACGTTGTATAGGTTCAACACTGAAATCGATTAATCTCGAAACGGCGGGGCAATTAATAAAACGGTTAACGATCTGCACGAAGAAAATCGAATCGGCAAAGTATTATTTCGCGTGTCGGATTAAAATCGCGGCGCCCCTCTGCCGGTTCCTTCGTGGAAACCACGTGCGTGTGTTCTCCGCGAAAGAGGCCACACGAAAAAAAAAGAAAAGAAAATAAAGCGCGCGAAAGTTTCGACCGGCGAAAGAGGCAGTAACGTTATTTCGGATCGATCGGTTCGCGCGCAGTTTTCCCGTCGCGACGTCATAGAGGCGAACGGCCGTTTCCATATCCGCTTAAAGCAATTTTTTGAGTGGTCGAGCGAACGTAGGAACGTCGGCCCGTCCAACGGTCGACTGTATTGTGGCGCGATTGTTCGCCGATACGACGCGATATATATATATAGATATTTTTTTTTTATTTTTCCACGGCGGTTGCGGCCAACGGCGAAAACCGTTCGCGCGTCCGAAACTGCCATGTCCGTGCCATTGGTGGAACGACGCGATGCAACGATGTCGCGCGCAGCAGGCTCGACGCCGGCGAATGGCTCGTCGCTGTCACCGCGACGGGTCGGGCGAATATCTTTGCGCGTTACGCGCTTTTTAGAATGATCCCCGGCTCGGCTGGGGAATATTGAACCGGTTCGACGGAACGCTCCGGGGAAGAAGGGATGCGAAGTTTCCCGGGGCGAATGGCGGATCGGTTGAGACAGTGATGAGCAACCTTCGCCTCGTTGCCGGCTGCAGTTGGGAACACGATATACCGTGTGGAGATCACGATATTCAATGCTCGCGTGTATTAATACTTAAATATCCAGTTGTACGCCTGTAATTTGGAAACTTCGACGACCCGTAAAGCTCCCGAGTTCCCCGCTGTGAAAACCTCTGCAGCTAGGCTCCCGATGAAACTCGATGTCGAGAAATGAGTTGATCAAAATGTTGTGACTTCTGACGATCGTACTACATATTCGGAAGCTATAAAAAGAGCTTTTTAATCTACAACCGAACAAGGAAACGAGTAAATCTTTTAACGACTAAACGGAATGCTTCTCTGCAGTGGCTTCTCGACTCGAATCAAAATTTCTAAACGTAGAGCACATTGCGGTGTGCCTATTTGACAGACGAGTAAATACTGCGCGTCCCAAGATTGTTAACGACACGATAGAAGAGCAAGATGAGTAACTTCTTCCAACCGTCTTGTTACAGTAACGAACCAACTTGAAACTCCTTTCTTTCGAAAACGGACCACCGTCGAGAAAGCCACGAGGGTTCTCCATTCGTATTTTTCTAGAAATTTCCATGTCCGACCCTCTCCTTGCGAGACGCGCGGCGATTGAAGGGCCGCCGGTTGCTCACCACTGGGCTAAGCGGAGCGATAGCGCGGCTGGGGAGCGGGAAGTGGAATAAACGTAGGTGTGACCCGCCGTTGCCCCGCGCGCTGATAAACCATCGGGGAGGTACGCCGGACGTATGCAGGCAACTTGCAAAATAACGAAAAAGCAAGAGGAATATCCAGAGGCTGGCTTATCCGACTCCGGGAACGAATATTCCCGGTAAAAATATCGTCGGGCTTAATCCGCGAACGATCATGGCGTACACGCGAGTCGATACTCCGCGCGCGCGGCCTACGGTTACAGCGAATTTGTACGAAGGACCGGCTCCCCATCTATTACCGACTTTTTTGCTGAGCCGGAAAGGGTCTACCTGGTCCGTATCGCGCGCGGCCACATGCCAATCGGTTTAACCACTTCACCTGGAATGACGCCTCTCGCGAATGCTCGAATCTCAAGCTGAAACATTCACAAATCTTCCTCTCAACGGCTTTTTATTGTGTGCAACGTAATGTTGCGGTACCGTGATTCCCTTTTCTCCGAATTATTGAACGGACGACGGATCTCTGAATTATCAGAGATAACTTGGTTAACACGGAAAGCATATTACGAATGAATGATAGCTTTTACAGATTTTGGAAGGGTCAGTTTATCTGCTCGATGGTACCGCACAGAATTTCCGAGTTGGGTCGGACGAATCGGTTTAGAAAGTTCCGCCCGTGACTTTCAAGTATTCCGTTCGACAGGCTAACACGGTGGCCGCATACTTCGCGCGACGTTCGACGGAGTTCGGCTCGGGAGCCGTTAGGAAGCATCGACGAGACGCGACGTGTTCTGACGCGGATTTTCTTCTCTGTCGCAGTGCCGCCGGAACAACCGACCATATTGGATCAATGGGGAAGAATAGTAAACGGGACGGCTGGACCATACGAGGAAGGCGACACGCCGTCGCTGACCTGTCGCGTCACCGGAGGTAAGTTACATGATTTCGTTAACGATAACCCCGAAGTTTACCGGCCTCTTACACTGTCAGCCCATTTCGCCGCAGCTTTGTTTAGAGTTTCACTTTGTCAATAACTCAGACCCGACCCAGATCCGGTTTCAAACGTTCACCCTTTCCTTGTCGTGCGCTTCTCCGCGGATAACCTTTCCGAGCGCAGCTTTAAAAAGATTCCAGCACTGAAGGAATTGCCTAATATCGTACTCCCGCATTCCCCTAACAATAGAGAAGTAACTCAGGCTTTCTATAATACGAAACGAGAACTCCGCGATACGAGAACGCGGGGCAAACGTTTTCATGCTAATTAGAGTCGACGCTAATATTAACCCTTAACGGAGCCTTACCGCGAAACAAGCATTTTCACTTTGTGACTCCAATTCCGCCTACATGCCCGCGACGTCATTTTATTATCTTTATCACTGTTACCGTTGTAACATCTACGATGAACACGTTAACTATCGAGCTAAGTCACTTCTGTGAATTTCTTTCCGCTCGTTATCCAAGTCCTTTACCTCTCCGCGGTAAATAAGCTCGAAATACTTCCGGTTCGTGAAGGCTTAAAAGGATTAAGAAGAAACACCGAGCAAATATAAAAAATCGCGAGCTAACCTGCATTTACCTCGCCCGCGGCCTTCGATCGCAGATCTTCCGGCCCGATCGTCAAACTTCCTTCGCAAACGAAGGAGCCATCGAATCGCGACACGCGAGCCAGATACGCGGAGCGCTGTAAATGCCCGCAACCTGTGGAGACCGGCAAGTTTGTAACGACGCCATACGGCACGGTCTCCGTCGAATTTCACCGAGCAAATACGACGGCCCGGGGATCGAGCGTTCGAAGTCCTTTTTCTTCGGGATCGGTCGGGTTATCGTTCGAAGATCGAGCGCGCGTCGCGTCGGTTTCCCGCACGTCGGCTATTTGGCTCGCCGCGAAATCGTCGGGAGTTCGACGCGGAATGGCGAGCGGAGGGATCAAAGATCGAGGGAGGTCGAACGCGACGGGGGTGAGGCTGACGGAGTCAGTGGTGTCGGCAGTTATTAGATCAGGCAACTTTTTATCGACGAGCGGGAGGCTAAGTGGAAAGTTCCACGTTCGGTCGACGCGACGCGGCGCGACGCCGCGCGACGCGGGCTGACGCGAAAGGAAGTCCTCCCCTCGCGAAGCGGAAGAGCGGATGGGAAAGGGGAAGGGCGTGCCAGGACGGAACGAAGCGCAGGGGGTACGGAGGATCAAGCGTTCCCGAGTGAAACGGGAGAGGAAGCGCCGAACTACCAGGGTTCCGGTGTTTACTTTGGCAACTGGATCTAAATTTCTGTTTATAACTGCGGCAACTTCTTCGTCCGCCTTAAAAGATTATTTCCTCCCCTCCTGCCCTGCGGCCTCCTCCTCCTCCTCCTCTCCTTCAGAGCTCTCCGGAGTTTCCCGTAGAGTGCTACGTCCTCCGGTGTCCCCTGAATCGATGAAACGCCGGCTGGCGTCTGTAACGCGGTAGGTTACGAGCGATCAGTCTGGATTTTTTTGCGATACGACTCTTTATTTATTGAACCGCCAGAGCGACAGAGAAGTCTATTCTCGGCGGAGCGGAAGTTTCGGATCGGGCGCGAGTTACCTACGGATTCTTCGAGTTAGTTACGAGAAGCTACGGTGAAAATCGTTCGGAACCTCGACAGTCGCAGAGCCGTAAACAATAATTATTCCGAGCGCCGTGTACAAGATCTTCGTCCTCCGGCGGGCGACCGCCTCCATCGAAGCGAACGGGGAAATAATTCTCAGTTTGGTTTATGGGCGCTGGCGGCGCGCGGATCCAATGAAAAACGGGCGGCGGGATCCGGTCGAAAACGCGAAAACTGCTTCGACTCGAAACTGTGGCGAGCCGGGGCGACTACGGTACAAATACCGGTGTGTACTAGGATTCGATCCTCCTAGTCGACGCCGGCGCTCGATGAATACATCGAAATTCGAAGCGGGGAATATTGCCGTATGCAGATTCGATGGGAATTGCATCGACGCTCCGCGCATCGATCATACGCACTGCGGCGTATAAATTGAATATCGAGAAGATCGGCTTATCCTTAACAATACGCTCGCGAAGCCCGCTGCAAACGATCCCGTACACGAACCGGGGGGAGCCTAGAATTTTCATTTAATTGTAAATCATCTTCGGAAAACGAACGGAAGATCAACCGGATCCGCGGGAACGCTGTCGCCGGACAAACGACGCGTGTATCCTCGTTTGTATTTCCGCGCGCGCCTCCTTTCTGTACGCGCCGGCATCGATTCGACGCGCAGCGAAGACCCGCGGGTATTATTATTATTGCCCTGAAATTCTACTCGCCGTTAAATACCGTGCGCCAATTAGGACGGCCCGAAATGGTTTTCCGTTCCGCGCGGGAAACTATAGCGCCCCATCGAAGCTGCATGTAATATTAATTGCACGGTAACTCGCGTTAATTACTACACCAGGAACAACAATTTTTAATATGCATCTCGTCGACCTCGTTGCTCCTTTGACGCGCGTGTATCTCTCGAGTTATCTGCTGTTTTTCATCTCGCCCCTCGCTCGCCTCATTTATTTCCCATCTCATCGTAATGCACAATTTCTCCGTTGCATCGCTTCCTTCTTCTCCGCGTTCTCCTTAATGCTCTTGCTTTCTTCCGAAAATCTGCATCCAGCCGTTTTCTGCGAGTTCTCCTTACCCAGGTCGCCGTAAGACCCGCGGCGTCTTCATTTGTTAATTGCTTCCCGCACGCGACAAAGAACCACCATTAATTAAATTATGATTAAGCAACTTTGTTTCTGCGACATGTCGCGCTGAAATTCCAAATTGAATGTCTCGGCGAACGATCCGGCTGCAAGAAAATTCGTCGACGCGGCTCGCTGTACGGTACCGGGCGGGTCGGAATTATGTCAAAATGTTTATTTCACAGTTATCGAAACTGTGGAAATGTTTTGCCGCACGGTTATGAACACGTTTACATCCTTACGCGGGTACGACAGTGAAACGTTCAGATCTGAAACAGTTTAGCGTCCCAATTCTTCTGAAAAACCTACAGGTGACTCTGATTGCTCGGTTTCGGAGTTAACCCCTTGTCCTATAACGAGTGAGAATCGCGATGAAGATTTTCAACACGATTCAACAAATATATATATGTCATATATATATGACCCGCTAAGATTAGTCGGAAATTCGTGTTCTCTTGTATAAGTATCAAAGACCAGTACGACAATGAACGTGAAACGTGAACGCGAACGTGGTAGCAACGAAGTCGCTACAGCTTCTCGTCTCGTTCGACAGCAGCCCGTCTCGGGAAGACAATTCTCCAAGGCGTACCGAAATAACGCTCGCGAGCGAAAACGTCCGGCCTCCGTATATTCCAGGATTTATCGAGCACCCAGTGCAAGTTTCGAGCGGTACCCCCGTCTCCCGCGGCACTTCGGTCAAAGATTTGCAATTCAATCGAAGCCCGAACCTCGCCGATGCGAAATTACGCCGGGCGTATACTTCGACGATTAAATGTTAATTCACGATCGGTGACTTTCGCGACCCGTCCTCCTCCTCTCCCCCCGTAAGATCTCGCCGCTGGTATATCTCCGCGGCGCAGGTTATTTACGCGGGAAAAATGATTCCGAAGCTCGGGCGCGATACCAGATCCGATTATTCAAACGAGAAACGGCGAATTCCATTCCCCGCCCTTTGAGCCTCGTAAAAAATTCGCGGACCCCGCGTTTTATTGCGGAACAGCTCGCGATACTTACACGCGCGGCGCTGCGGTGCGCTGCGCGACGCTTTGTTTGCACTGTCAGGAATTCGATATCGACTACGGTGTTCCGCGGTTCACCCGTAACCGATTTCACGGACGATGGGACCACCCGAGGACGCGCTAGATAAGCTATGCAAAGCGAACGTGTTATCTCGCGATGTTCGTGAAAAAGGGCCCATAAGCTGGAACGACGAATCGTGTAGATCGCGATGGGAATTATTATATTATTTCCCTCGATGCATCGACACGTTTGAATTCTTAATCGCGCGGCTCGTAAAACCGAAACGTTAAAAGAACAGTCGGTTTAAAGATCTCTCGTGGCGTATTAACCCTTTGCACTCGAGTGGCGCCTTTCAGTCGCCATTTAATCTGACCTATGAAAATGGTAAAATGGTGTTAAATTTGTCTGTAACGCATCGACAGATGGAACATCGAAATGAAATAGTTCCGTTACTTAGTTTGTACAAGGTTTACGTTAGTTGTGAAACGTATCATTGATATTTCATCGAATAACGAACATTTGTTGAGAAAAATATTCTCGAGTGCAAAGGGATAAAATCAATAGAATCGTTCATTCGCGAAGGTAAACAAATTTCTAGAAAATTATTATTCCAAGTTTCAAAAAATCTGTGCCAGATGGACACAGTCAGCCAGTTGAAAAGGATGATGCGCGGCAGATCTATGGATCGTTTCTTCGAACGGCAAAAATTCTAGTACCCACTTCCGGCAGTAAGAGCGTGAAACAAAGCTAACGAACTTGTACACGCCGCGATCGGGGAAGATGCAACCGGCCCGCCAACATAAACAGTCTAATCTCCATAAAGCCGACGAGATTCGACGGGAGCGTCGTCCGAGCGAAATTCGAAAACGAAAACGCCGGTGTCTCCGCGGCGGCGCGGGCGGCGCCTCGCCCGGTTCCCTGGCGACGAAATTTATTGCGGCCGTCGGGTCGCGCGAACAGTGCAATAAAAACGCGCCGGCCGGCATTAAAAGTGTCTCTGCTTCGACGTTCATTTAAATTCGTCGGGGTCGCTTCAGCCCGGCGAGCCGAGGCACGCGGGTCATGTTAATTATACGAGACACGCGCTAATACGCGCGGGCTTTATATCTCCTCCGCGCGGCGCGCGATAAATATTTCGCGGCGGCGCCGTCGCCGGGTGCCACGGCGGCGTCGATTAACCGTGATTACTCGGGATTGGCAGCTCCGGCGGGA